TGTCCCATATCATAGGGACAGCCCCAATACTAGAAATAGCGCGCGCTTACAGTCTCCGTCCCCGATTATGGCTCCTGGCCACACCATTTTACATAAGACCGAATAACTTGCCATCAGAGTTTATTTTCGAAATATGACGGCGGGATCTCGGACTTGACACAGTTGTCTTAACGATGGCAAAATTTAAAAAAAGATCTGTGCGAGCGTTTTCGAGAAAATTGCGAGTAAAGTTTTAAGGTGTCAAAATACAACAAAAACGGAGCTGTTTTAAAATGTTATTGCAAACTGTGTCCACAAGACTTGACGAAATGGTATTATGGTGTTAAATGAATCTTAAAACATCTAATTGCCTGGAGTGAAAATCTCAGAGAAATCGCTCGGTTTGATTTTCAGAAACATTGCCTTGAATACAACTGGTGTGGGGTGTTATTTTGCTTTTTATCAAAACTTGCCCCTAAAATTATTAACTTGGGCGGGAATTAAAAAACATACGATGATTTTTTTAGACTTGGCCCTCGATGAGATTAAGCCAAGTCCGAGATCCAGACGTCATATTTCGAAAATAATTCCTGATGACAAGTTTTTCGGCCTTATGTAAAATGAGGTAGGGCATCATTTAGTTGCTGAAAACGAAAACATGCACCATACGCTGAACGGATATTCCAGTAACCTCATGTAGGTTTTTATTTCCAATGGGCTGTACTTGTGCCATGAGCTCTTTAAGTAGCTGTAGATGATATATGTGCTATAATATAGTCTAATGGACAACTGGAAAAAAGGTTAAAAAACAGTTCTGTCGATTTCTGTGGCTGTACCTTTAGAAACGAAGTTGTAACGTTGCAACTCATCGGACCAAGGTCGCTCGTCAGGTTTCCTACAATAACAACAAAACGAATTAGGTGTTAATTTTTTTCAATCATTTTTTTCTACTTTCCAAATTTATTAGTACTGCCTCTCTCTGCATCGTAACAATGTCCTTCGACAAACACCGCCTTTTATGAAATAACTATGGAAAATGTTTGTCAAAGAGAATGAAATTTATTGTACTTTCGTGATCAAGTTGTTTATTCGCAACAAATTCATGAGATAGCGCGGCAAACCAATCCGCCGTAGGAAAAAACAAATGGCAGGACTGTACCAGGAAAGCCATATTTTTGCGATACTTGTCCCTGTGCTAACAACATTGTGTACGCTAGGTTTGAAGACTTTAGGACTTTTCTGTACGTTTTTATGAGCGTTGTTAAAATTTTCCAGGGCTAAGAATTATGGGTAAATATACCAGTCGCCATTTCCTTTCTTACGCAGGATTGCAGAAGCTGAAAGAATGAAAGCTTAGGCTCGGCGTCGGACACAAAATCCCCAGAGGAAAGCGACGAAAACATTACGCGCTATAAATGTTTTAGGAAAGGGAAGGAAAGGTTATCGCTGAAAGACAGAGAGTGTATTAATTAATTCAAAAGAACTTTGAGGGGAAAATGCAGGAATTCGCGGTCGGAATCAGTTATCACGAAAGGAAAACTATATGAAACGTTTGCAAGTAGTAAAAACTTCAGGCGCTTGACGTTGTGATTCAACGATGACTTTAAAAAGTTTTGCAAATGGAATAAAAAGGTTAGTTCTAAGAACGCTTTTTTGAAATTTATTCAGAATTTATTTACTTATGTTGAAGGCTATGAAGTCTGTGCTTCTCTGTATTTTGCTGAATGAAAACTACTGCTTGAACGCTTAATGGCAACCAAATTTATTTATTGTGTTATGGATGCGTGCATTGAGTTTAAACTTAAAACTACTGGTAATTAAACTTAATGTTAACTTAAAAGAAATCTTTTCCTTGCTTTTTTGACAAACCAAATTGATCAGTCTAGCCGAGCTGTAGTCAGGACTGCGTCCTCCACAGACGGCCGTAGAAAGCACTGAGACAGCTTAAAACGGAATCCACCAGAAGTTTGAGTAACAAGTGGTCAATACGAAGATTATTTAAATCATATTGCAAACTTCTGTGTGACTGTTTTAAATATCTTCTCAAAAAAGAAATCATTTCCAGCAACACCAAACGTCGAAAACAAATGTTGAACTTCGTATGAAAGACTTAAAAGTACTGGTGAAATGAACCTGGTGATGAAATTTTACCTGTGTTTGCACAATTTCTCTAAACTTTGAAATATATTTTCTCTTGTTACCATGGGGAATTGTTTTCGGTGTTATTTCAGGTAAATATTTATATCTTTAGCTTTAAGAAAATGTAAAAAGGACTGTAAAATAATTAAAATTATTCTGGTACTGATTTTTGTCCACTAAAAACTAAAATTTGTCGATTTACTCTCGGATTTCGTCTTAAAGCTTACTTCTAAACTCAAGCGTAAACAGAATCAGCATAAAAGTTTGGCTATGGAAAATCAAGCATTAAGTTCAAGCTTACATCACGACCAAATTCTGGTCCTGTTTTTCCTTACAAATTTCTATGTGCTTGTTGTATAAGATGTTATTCGTGTTATTGATATATCAGCCAGTAGTGTTGCGTGTAGTCTGCTCCGTGTCGGAAACCTTGTGTTTACCGGTGCAATAAACGATACGTTTTTGACCAATCAGAGCGCAAGTAGTGTCTCAGCTATTTTCTAAATAGTACTAACCAGGTCAAAGCAGCCTTAACAAACTCTTTTGCATCTAATGATACATTCTCTGGCAGCGTAGGCTCGATGGGTTTGGAGCCAATCCTAAACATGGCCGCCGCTGACTCAAGATGACCCAGAGGAGGTTTCCCTGTTAACATTTCGACAACTGTGCAACCTAGACTCCTTAAATAACAAACAAACAAACAAACAAACAATAAACAAAACTGACAAAAAAAAAAAAACCGTTACACATTCTGAAGTTAAGGAATACCACTTTGGCAAAACCTGGCGAATCTTATAACTGTATATTACTGCGGGTTCACAGAAGAAGCCTTAACCCATTGACTCATGCCTTCAAATAAATCACTTCTACAAGCATTAAAACGATAAAAGTTTACAAGTGAACTCATCATACGAGATCACACAGAAGTACACCATTTACGTTCCCTGAGACAGTCCGTTTTCGGTCAGCGGTGACTGAGTGCCTCACACTCAGGCAACTTCAGAAGCAGTTGCCAGAAAGTCCTGCTTCGGTTTGATTGTGTGCAAGGGTCCAAGTCCGATATTGGTGTCTGAACATGCATATTCGTTCTTTAGTCTCCACCTAAGATTGTGCCTTTTTAATTCATTGTAAAAAAAAAAATCAGAGGAAAAGCATTGCTTGTGAATGAAACCTACCAAATATCTACTTTCCGTCCATAGCCTTTACCCCAGAATATTTCTGGTGCCATCCAGTACGGGGTGCCGCAATAAGATACCAAATTTGTTTTACTGCCAACTTTCTAGAATAAGTTGGACGAGAAATGGTTATTTTGTTAATTCTTTTCCCACCCGACTATTTTTTGACCTTGTTGAACACGGAGTGCGAGATAGTGGGGAGAGGAGCTTTTGTGGCTCTTGCCCTTTCAAACTCGCTGTTAAAGCTATAACAATAGACGTAATCTATATAAAGGATCCATGAAACATGGAGGATTTAGTACTTTCAAAAGTCCGAGTCCATAACATTGATTGATGACGTTATATCGTGACATATAGAAATGACGCTACAGTGATCGATATCCCCTTCTTGGATTCAGTTATCTCTAGAAAGCATTATACAATGAAGACTACTTTCAAAATAGTCAAAACCGATAAAAGAGGTGAAGTTATGCAAACAAAGCTAAAGTTACTGCAACTAAATTGATGTTTTTTATTATAAATTAAATAGGAAAATTGACATGGCCTATTAGCAGAAGGTCACTGTTCGGCTCTTAGTGGGACTTGTCAACACTGACCATAGTTAGCAAGGAGAAACTCCAAATTGTTATGAAGCCGGGAAAACTTCAAATTAGCTAACAGAAGTACCATCAGTTAATATGTTGTGAAGTTCCCGCCCGTGCACAATATTTTGTTTTGCGCTCATACACTCTGCGTAAATATTCCTGAATTACGAGACTGAAACGCTAGCTGCTCAGACTGAAATAAACTCCTATTGTGTTTTGTGCGCGGTCAAAACGAAAAAAGCAAACAGAAAAGGGCTCCATACACATTACCCACTGTTAACTTTGGACAGACGAAGGCTTATACAGTACGAGTCTAATTACTGCATGCAGTTCACTATCTCTGGGAACGAGATTGGCTCCGAGCAAGACCTTACGTGACGAGGAATGCACAAAACATATCTTCTTTTCCCGTGTTTGTTTCTTCGTGGACATCCCAATGAATATCGAAAAAAGGAAAGGAAAAGCAGTGTTTGTCCTTTAAGCCTACCAGATATCTGCTTTCCGTCCATATCCTTGACCCCAAGATATCTCTGGCGCCATATAGTAGTACGAAGTACTGCAAGAAGACTTCAAATAAGTTCGTTTTCCAGTTTTCTGGAGAAAAAAAAATCGGACGAAAAATTGGTTATTTTCCGACATTAAGCGACATTAAGCGGCATGTGAGCATGTGAGCAGCATGTTCGCGTGGAATAGATACAATACTTGTGAGAGGTTTTCTAAACTAACAAGGCTGAATTCAACTCCGTCTATATTCACGTAGGGGCCAAACCACCCCCCTAATGTTTCATGAAGGTTACATTTGCTTGGTTTATATATTTCTGAACCAAGTTTGGCAGATGACCTTTCTTTGTTCTCCAGTTTATTTTAATTTGGAAGTTGTGACAAAATGTCAGATTATGACGTCATAATTGATGACGTCACCGAAAGGTGCTATAATTTTTTTTAAAATCTGATGTAAAGATTATGTCACTGGAAAGGCTTTGGCTTGAGGAGTAAAATGCCGGAAACCGTTTTTTGTTATGATGATTATTTTTTGAGATATGGTAAATTGAATATTTTTTTGTTGTCCCCCCCCCCGGAATTTGCTTAACCATACTGTCCTTCTTAAGTCAGTCTCTCTG